CTAGGGACCATATTTTGTGCTTGTTGGACTATTACTGGAGGAACAAACACAGGGTTTGGTGGAATCCCATGTGAATTCGAATAGAGGATTAGTGAACCCTCTTGTACCAGGTATGGTTTCGAACATGGGGTTTGGAAACATTTTCATGCCATTTTCTTGTGTTGGCCCAGATCCACCAATTTGTATGGCTTCACTATTAGGTAACAGGACATTTTGATTTACCACGGGCCTCAAAAGAGGCTTATACCATGACTGAGGTACAGGTGATGGTCTTTCATAATTTGGATTATTAGTCTGGCCATTAGTCTGTCCATTACTTTGCATAAGCTGCTTATCTCTAACCAATCTTTGTTGAGGAGCATTTGAATTTTCCTCCATATACCTTGTATTAGTTGGTTGATGGGAATTCATTTGATCCACAAAAGATGTTGCCCATCTTTCCATTATGTTCATGAACTATTGTCCCGTGGCATTCACCAAGTCTCCCCATGGATTCATTGGTTGGGTAGATAAAACAGTGGATGGTCCAATTCCATGGCCTCGTCCAATATTTTGAACATGTGGTACTTGCTCTGAAGTGCTAGACTGTTCGACCATAGATTCTAATAGGACAGGTACTTCCACAGGATGTGTTATCACATTATTCTCTAGATTAGGTATTTCTACCTCTCCCTCAACACCTTCTTCCAGGTGTTCATTTTCTCCTTGTCTCCTACGTCTAGCTATTTAAATATGGTCCCACTGGGCGTGCCAAAAATATATGTTAGCTTTTTTGGTTTTCGAAGGTTAGTATTGTAATTTTAAGCGTGCCAGCAAGGATCAATCAGTCTTTATAGAAGATTAATTGCCAACCAATTATCAGACGATTGTGTTTAAGTTCTTTCAGTCTCAATGAAAAGAACTTTTATTGGTGGCTTATTTAGGAGAATTTAGTAAACAACAATTAAGTGAAGAAAATCGTAGAATTTCATTAAGTAAAAATGAAGAAACTTACAATGATCTGACCCAGCCTCGTAGAGGTTTGCATCAACAAACTATTCGAAACTACTCCTATGAATGAAATGCAATACAGGAATTTGAAGTACAGAAATGTAAAGAATTGTAAAAACTGGAAAGGAAAATAAAGTAGATAAAACTGGTTTTTTGATCTGAGTCTGGATCCTCTATTCTGGGGCCTTCTGTGCTATTTATACTTCTTAATGATAACCGTCGAAATGGACTTCGAACCGTCAAAATGTCCTTCCATGATCCCTGATCATGCTTTCTCACAGTCAGCCCCACTACGCCATGTTTACAGCTAGGCTTCCCTCCTGATTTTGAATTTGAACCTTGTGAATAACCGTTAGGCCACATCACCTTATATCTTTTGATTATTCCAGTACTAAAACAACAATTAAGCGAAGAAAATTGTAGAATTTCATTAAGTAAAAATGAAGAAACTTACAATGATCTGACCCAGCCTCGTAGAGGTTTGCATCAACAAACTATTCGAAACTACTCCTATGAATGAAATGCAATACAGGAATTTGAAGTACAGAAATGTAAAGAATTGTAAAAACTGGAAAGGAAAATAAAGTAGATAAAACTGGTTTTTTGATCTGAGTCTGGGTCCTCTATTCTAGGGCCTTCTGTGCTATTTATACTTCTCAATGATAACCGTCGAAATGGACTTCGAACCGTCAAAATGTCCTTCCATGATCCCTGATCATCCTTTCTCACAGTCAGCCCCACTACGCCATGTTTACAGTTAGGCTTCCCTCCTGATTTTAAATTTGAACCTTGTGAATAACCGTTAGGCCACATCACCTTATATCTTTTGATTATTCCAGTACTACGCAAACCCATTATTACCAGTATAGGTTGACACGTGTTTGACTATGGTTGGCAACTTATATTACCTCCCCAAATTGCCCTTTCCATGCCACGTGTCAATTTGCAATTGGCTTATACAAATTATACAGCCAAGAAGAACATAACAGAGGGTCACATAAAGTTACAATTCAGAGGACCAATGATTATTTAAGTCCCCCAATGCATGAAACCTCCATGATGGTACTTACAAAATAATTGTGCAAAAACAGATTTAATAAACAGTTACATTCATATGTTTTCCTTTTTAAAACAAATAGGGTTCATTTAACAAATAATACACTTTTAAAAACTAATATGATTTACAAAACATAATTTACATAAAACAGTTTCTGGTAACTCAAAATATAATAAAACAACTTACCTCAAAATTGATCATTTACTCTCACTTTTGACTTCGTCTCATTCTCTCATATACCCATCGTTTGTTATTTTTGTATTTTCATTACCATGCAACTCACCTATTTATAGGTGAGAAGAGCCTTACTATGCAGCATTATGCAACACACCACGTGATACCACATGGCACCATGCTTCCTATGAGGTTTCTTGAATCAACTATGCACAAGTTCCCTATATTCTACTATGGCCCAAAATATTTTGTAATTATATTTTTTTTTTAAGATTAAGTAAATATATTTTGGGATGTCACAACGGTACCAGCATATCTCGTGGAGAGGGTTTGAGAAGGCTGCAGATTTGGTGAGTGGTAGCAGATCTGGTGGCTATGGGTTTATAGGGGCGACCGATCTAGTGGCTGTGGATTTGTAGAGGCAGCCGATCTGGCGATATGGTGGTAGCAGCGTAGGTATGAGGCAAAGGAGGAGGTAGATAGAGTATCCAATGAAGGCCACGACCAAGTAAAGCAGTGAGGAAAAGAAAATGAGAGACAAATATAGATTTCACCAAAAGAAGAAAAACACCTCATAAAAGAGAAAGAAGATGAGAGGAAAAAACTTTCCAAACTTATTTAAATCAAAACGATCAAAAAATAAAATAAAATAATACATAAATAAGAGGAGGAGGAGGAGGGGGATGGAGGCGGGAGCCCCTCTCTCACCCCCCTCCCAAAAGCAAGCCGGAAGAAGAAGTCAGCCTCCGTTTGAGAAGTGGGTTGGCTTTTTGGCTTTTTGGCTTTTTTGACTATTTGAGCCTAGGCTCAAAAACTTGGTTTGGGAAGGACTTTTTAGCTTTTTTGACTTTTTTTGTGAGAGAAGAGTGTAATGATTATGGGTTGGATGTGATATTTTGTCTGTTGTGACTCAAATAGCCTATTCTGTTTTTTGTGGCTCAAAGAGTTAAAAGAGCCTAAATGAACTCTTCCCAAACAACACCTCAGTGATTTTTTATATTATCGATAACAGTGTGAGTCACAAATAAAGGGACAAATTATTGGTTATAAATTTATTATTAATATTAGTGATATAGTCGCGTCACTGCCCACTGTGGAAGTAAATAATTGATTGTCAACGACAAAGGAGTCAAGATCTATTTCTCAATCCTGTTCAAAAAAAAAAAAAAGATCTATTTCTCAATCAGACCAAAGACAAGAATGTGGTGCTCTCATCACTAGTCTACTCCATCACAGCTAGCTTACACTTGCGTCACACTTTGAAACCATACATTAAAAAGTATTTTGCGAGATTAATTTTGCTTAATTTAAACAAAATTAAATTTCACTTTATTACTTTTCAGTGTGGTTTATTTTTGCCATTTAAAAGTAAGTACATAATTTTTTTTATTATTTATAAATTAAAATGCATCCATCAATTATTAAACTATTAGACAATGTAAAAATAAGTACACAATCTTTTATTATTTGTAAATTACAGTGCATCCATCAATTATTTTATTTAAACTAATAGTAAATGTAAAATGTGTGTCAAGACATAAAGACACTTGCATGTTCATTTTCAAATATCATAAATTCCATGTAAAGTATAATGCATGGGTTATAATGTATTTCAATTCTCAAATATATATATATATATATAAATGTAAATGATGTGTATAGTAAGATTGAGTTTAATTTATAAATCATAAAACAATACGTATTTATTTTTAAATAATATAGAGAAAACTATGCATACATGATGCATCCAATCATAGAAATAAAGTAAAATTACCCAACAGGAAAAAATTTAAGGAACAAGAAAACGTCTTAGAATTTATCATAGAAAGTAGATTGATGATATTTATTTTTTTTAAAAAAAATATTTTGAGACCATTAATATCAGTTTTTAATTTTTTTTAATATTTATTTGAATTGCTAAAGTGAAATAATAATAATACTATTCACCTTATTTGGTTTCAGAAAATTAAGTCCGCTTTTAAAAAAAAATTAATTTTAAATGTTAGTATTTTTTTTTGTTTTTAGTAAAAAAATTTAAGAATTTCTTTTATTTTTTAGATGCACCTAAATTAGATATACTTAAAAATGTATAATATTTACAAAAAAAAAAAATCTTTAAAAAAATTATCAAATACAAAAAATACAAAAATTGAGAATATTTTCGTAGGAAGCCATATTCATACCCTACTTTGCTCTAAATAGACTCCATTATTTGTCATTTATTATATACAGTTACATTAATACATTTTTACACAAAATACACTTCTTGCAAAAATTAAAATTCCAAAGATATTAATGTATTTCGAGTAAAGAAATAAGTATATTTAGAGTAAAATAAAGTAAGAATAACAGCTCTCTTTTTATATTCTTGTATTTATTGATTTTTTAAAATATTTTTTTACAAATATTTATTTTTTAAATACACCTAAGTTATGTATATATATAAAGTAAAAAATTTACTTAAAATATTAAAAAATATTTTTTTAATATATATCATTTTAAAAAAAGTGTATCATATGCCCCTTTAACTATGTTATTTTTTTTATTTATGAAATTATTTTAATTATATCTCATACTATATTTAATTATAATATTTTTTGAATTATAATTTAAAAAATTAAAATGATATTTTTTTTTAATGGTGCACCGAGTGTGTTCCATAATCTTTTGTTAAAAATATAACTAAAAATAAAAATATATGAAAATATAAAAAAAGTCAATCAAAATTAAAGAAGGTGATTATAATAGATTAGGATCAAATAATTGATAGTAAGCCACCATTGATGATGAATAAGAATAACAGACTGTGAGAACCACTTTCTTCTTCTTCTGAGAACCTGTGTCTCCTCCTCTGCTCCCTCCCATTTATCTCTCTTCACCACTCCCCTAAAAAAAATTCTCAATTCCCACCCATATTCTTCCCCGACTACGCTACAGTCTAATCTAGAGAGAGAAAAAAAGGAAACAGTGAGAGAGAGAGAGAGAGAAAATGGCGTCGGCAGCGAGAGTAGATCTGGATGGAAACCCCATCAAGCCGATAACGATATGCATGATTGGTGCCGGAGGCTTCATAGGTTCGCATCTCTGCGAGAAACTCATGGCCGAGACGCCGCACAAGGTGTTGGCGGTGGACGTCTATAACGACAAGATCAAGCACCTTCTCGAACCGGCCTCCCTCCCCTGGTCTGATCGTATCCAGTTCCACCGCATCAACATCAAGAACGATTCCAGGCTCGAAGGCCTCATCAAGATGGCAGATCTGGTACTCTCTCTTTCTCTCTCTTTCTCTCTCTCGCTTCGTTTTTTTTGTTTTTTGTGAATTTATATCGTTTTGGATCTGTGTGCCTAGAAGCTTAAATGCACATAATTTCTCTAATAGCTATCGCTCTTGAAGTTTCTCACATTGCTGTTTCTGTTTGTAATCGTATTTATGCCAAAAAATATCTTAAATTATGCGTTTTTCAATCCTTTGCTCGCAATTTATGCTGAATGTTGTGTTTTTGTGATGTAGACTATAAATCTAGCGGCGATCTGTACTCCGGCGGATTACAACACACGTCCTCTTGATACAATTTACAGCAATTTCATTGATGCTCTCCCTGTGGTATGCATTTTGGATTTTGATGCTTGGTTACTTCTTATTTGAACGGAATTGGTGTGCTTTGTTGTGAATTGTAGTTATTCTTGATCTTTTTAGCTGTCGCTGTTGGTAAAGTTTGGGATTTTGTTGTTGAGATTGATGTGCGTTTTTTTTATGTGGATTGTTTGGTACTTAAGGTTAAGTACTGTTCGGAAAACAACAAGCGTATCATTCACTTCTCTACCTGTGAAGTCTATGGGAAAACAATTGGATGCTTTCTTCCTAAAGATCACCCTCTACGGCTGGTGAGGCTTCATTTTCTGCTTTCTTTCTCACTCTGACTGCATATTGTTTACATAATAGAAACCAGATAAGTGCATATTGTTTAATTCTATTTTTAGATAATAGTAACTTTTGTGTTTCCGGTGCTTTTTATTATTTATTTTCCTTTTTTATTTAATACTTAAATTTTGGTAGTTGGATGGACTGCTAGCCCTCCATCTGTAGCTAGAAAGTATAATTGTTAGTCACAGTTTGTGAACAATAGAAATTTGAAGAACAACAAGAATAATGATCTCTCCTAAATCTTCTTGTTCTCTGCATATTTGTATGCTTTTGATGATCTTCTTTCTCAAGGTGCATTGCTTTTTCCTTTTTGGGTAGCAAAGTGGTATATCTTTATTAAAGTGGAGTGTTCCCATTTCCCAAACCAGAAATGCAACTGAGTGAGCATTTTCTTCAAATTTTATTTGTTGTCCACACCTTGTGTAGACCAAAATTAATTTAAATTGCCAGATTGTTTGCTCTTATCTGTTAGTTGCAATGGTGGTGCTATATGCATCAATTAGTGTACTTAGGGCTGTGCAAAATACCTCCCAATCCGCTAAAATTGCACCGATCCGCATCGATCCGCATCAATTCGCACCTCTCTAACCGCTAACTGAGGTTTAAACTTTAAAATTTATAATCCGCCAACCGAACCGCTCCGCTCTGCTATAGTTAATACATGTATATTTTTTAAATTCTAATGAAATATCAATATAAAAATGAGTGTGAGGGATGTTTAAAATATGAAATTTATTACAAATTAGTGGTTATATCTATGAAACATGTTATGTAAAATTATTTTGTGTTATATATTTAAAAAATATTATACAAATTAGTGTTATATATTATGCAAATGTATAAGAATTAGTTAGAATATTCTTCAATCCGCCAAAAATCCCCCAAACCGCAATTTGTCAATCCGCTAACCCGCCATTCGGTTTGTAATTTTACTCTCAAACCGCCCGAACCGCACCGCGCACAAGGATACCAACACTAGTTATCACATCATTATTAAGCCCACTTATTATACAAATTATAAATACCAAAAATCTCTTAAATTATGTCACATCATCAATTGGTACACTAGTTAGTACACTAATTGGTGCATATAACATCATTCTAATCGCAATGTTCCTTGTCATAGCAATATTGAATAAGTGGAAGACTGGTGTCACACTTTTTATTTTATTTTATGTGGCCCCATTGATGATCATTGTGGTTATTTAAAGGGGTCTACTATTTATTTTCTTTCTTTATTTTTATTTTTATTTTTTCATTTTCCTGCTTTTGTGCTGTTGCTGCTCTTCTTCTTCTATATGAAGGACCAATTTAATTTTTCTATATTGCAGTAGATACGTCATGTTATAGACGTTAAAAAACTGGAAAGCTATAGTAATTTGTTGTTTACCAGTATCTGTTGATTCTTGTCATGTATGTGCTACATGAAGTTTCTTTAATTTCTGGAACTTATTTTTTATATTTATTATTTGTTTGGCCTTTTTCTTCTCCTTTTTTTTTTTTTTGGCGAAATAAGGGATCTCGGGTCCACTGTATAGAAGTTCCTGTAAATAATGGTTACTTGTGTCGTTTTATGGTGAACTTGTGTTGTTTTATGGTGTACTTGCCGATTAAATTGCAAATTATGAATGGACCTTGTTAGTGTTCAGAACATTGTTGATGCTGCTGCATGCATAAATAGCAAGTTCTCATGATTAAGTTTATTATTGAATCATCTGGATAGCTGTATTGGTTTCTCATATCTATTTTAAGTTTTATTAATAATGTGTAAAATGCCTCAAAATTGGTACTATTTTATTGTTCTTTTTCTATTATAAACTTACTTGCCCTGGTGTTGGAAAGTTCCGAAATAGTTGTGTTTTGTATGGATTATAGGATCCTGCTTATTTTGTTCTTAAAGAAGATGATTCCCCCTGCATTTTTGGCCCTATTGAGAAGCAGAGGTGGTCCTATGCTTGCGCTAAGCAATTGATTGAGAGGCTGATCTATGGTGAGTGAACTTATCTACAGCTTTAGCTGTTAAGGAAGCTTTTCTTGGTGTATTTTTTTTTCACTTGTTCTTTATTGGTCGCAGCTGAGGGTGCAGAGAACGGTCTCGAATTCACTATTGTTAGACCTTTTAACTGGATTGGTCCCAGGATGGACTTCATTCCCGGCATCGATGGCCCCAGTGAGGGTGTTCCAAGAGTTTTGGCATGCTTTAGTAATGTTAGTTCAATTTCTTCACGATTTGTATTTGAAATATGCATTTGTGTTCGGCAGTTTCCTTTAAGTTTGTATTAATCTTGCTCTTTTCTGCCTCAGAATCTTCTGAGACGCGAACCGCTCAAGCTCGTGGATGGTGGCCAATCGCAGAGAACATTTGTTTATATCAAGGATGCTATTGAAGCTGTTCTACTAATGATTGTGCGTATACCATTTCTCATTTTGATTTCAAGTTTGGCTTCCAGAAAATAGTAGTTAGTGGTGTGTTCTCTCTCTCTCAGGAAAATCCAGCCAGGGCTAATGGGCATATATTCAACGTCGGCAACCCCAACAATGAAGTTACTGTCAGGCAACTTGCTGAAATGATGACTCAGGTGAGCGATTCATCCTTCAATTTTTTGACACCCATCATGTCACGATTTGATACAAGTTTTAATGAATACAATTTCATTCGTGCTGTTGAATCTTACATTTCTTACTATTCAAATCTGATTCACTATGGCTCATTGCCATTCACTATGACTCATTGCCTTTCACTATGAGTTACTGCGATTCTTTCTTCTTATTTGCATAATGCATGAAATGGGGCCTCATTTTACTAAAATTTATAATTTAAAAATTAAAAAAAAAACAATTGTATTATACATGATTTTATATGTATATACTTGTATATAATTTAGTTATATTTATAGTTATTTCATTTAAACACTGTCTATATATATAACTGTATTATCTTAAATAAAGTGAATTGTTCAAGTGATTCATTTGTTTAGCAAAACGATTCACGATTCAATCTTGTGATTTGACAATGACACGGCCATTGTTTGTTTTACACATTTATTTCATGGAATTATTCTTGCATTTTACAGGTTTATTCGAAGGTGAGTACAGAACCTCCTCTGGAAGTACCCACCATTGATATAAGCTCCAAAGAATTCTACGGTGAGGGGTACGACGACAGTGACAAGAGGATCCCTGACATGACCATAATCAACAGACAACTCGGTATTACCTTCTCCCATTCACTTAGTAAATTTTTTACATTTTTCAGGGTCAATAACATTACATCAAAAAAAAAAAAAAAGAAGAAAAGCATTCTGACATAGGTTTTGGGGTTTCTGGGAAATACCAGGTTGGAATCCCAAGACATCGCTTTGGGACTTGCTTGAATCTACCCTTACCTATCAACACAGGACATACGCCCAGGCCATAAAACAGGCCATTTCAAAACCACTTGCGTCCGGCTAAGGAAATAATGCTTCAATTCTTTCCAAGGAGTTTAGAAATCTATAACTAGACTATGGTTCATATTCATTCTCCTATTTTCTTTTTTCTTTTTGTCATTAGTTAGTAGTATCTCCAGAGTTTTGGCTACCACACGGTGTGGGTATTAATATTATACGAGCAAAGCCCGTTCTGTTTTTATTTTTTTTTTTTTTGAGATTCATTGCATTCCTTAATAAAAGGAGTATGTTGTATTATTTGTTTGGACCTATTTTTTTAATCTCATGTTATTTATTTGTTAATTTGTTTTATGTGTGGCCTTTTGTCTTTTCTTTAAAGAATTTTGTCTCTGTCTTTTCCTTAAAGAAGAAAATGAAATAAATACTTGGAGAATGGCGTTTTGGTTTTGGTAAATGTTTAGATGAATGTGAAATCCAGCGGGAAGCTAAATGGGCAAGTGCTATGTTACTGAAATGGAAAATTATTAATTACTTTGATAGTATCACGCGGTCCTATTTTTTCACTAATCAACCTTTATGGCCTTGTTTAGTTGAGTTTTTTTTAGTTAAAAGTTGATAATCAGAAAAAAGAAGTTAAAAATATCTTTATTCTAGCTTTTCAATAAAAAAAAATTCAACTTATTTAAGCTATTTATATCTAATAAGCTACAAGCAGAATATGCACTAAACAGTTTGACACAGACTCTCAAATTAAAATAAGTTATAATTATTCTTCAAAAGTTGTAACAAACAATCCTGGTGTCTCTATGGAGTATCATGTGATCATATTTTTGAACTACCCAATAAAATGAGGTTGTGTGCCATTTTATTGAAGCATTCACATGTTAAACCAATGTGGTTAACCTATTTTCCAGGAAAGTGTTAGGATTTATACTATATTCGGAGTATCATGTGATCATATTTTTGAACTACCCAATAAAATGAGGTTGTGTGCCATTTTATTGAAGCATTCACATGTGAAACCAATGTGGTTAACCTATTTTCCAGGAAAGTGTTAGGATTTATACTATATTTCACTAACGCAACTGGAAGTACATTCACGTATACACCAAATAAAAAATAATCACACATAGATTTACGTAGTTCGGTTCAAATTGTCTACATTCAGGGGAGACAAAATTTTTACTATAAATAAAATAGAGAATACATGTGAGTAGTTGAGCTTTTACTAATCCCGTGCCCACAGTATTTTTTCTCACCCCTTACATCTTTATTTTTTTCCTCACTATTCTCTCAATTTCTCTCGAGAAAAGCCTTATGACCGAGATGCCTATTTATAATAGTCTACCAATGAGAATCATATTTCTATACAATTAAGTAACCAAATTCTATACATATTACGTTTTTTAGTAGAATCCGAACTCTACTATCCTAACCCAAATATATGTATAAGCCAATTAAATAATTGTATGAGACCCACCTTTATTATATGGGTAGGTTAATCCTAACAAAAAGAGCATCCTTGGAAGAAATTCTTATTGGTAGGCTATTATAAATAATCATATGCACTATAGGGTTTGAGGGTGCAATCAGGGAAAAAATAAAAAAGGTAAGAGTGAGAGAAAAAATATTATGGGCATCAAGTGAGTAAGGACTCAACTACTTTTGAGCATAAGGTTTGGGTAGTGGTATAGATTTTGAGTATTTTGACCATCTCATAAATATTCTCTATTTTATTCATAATAGAAACTCTCTCTTCCATGAATGTAGGCAATTTGGGCCGAACCACATAAACCTGTATGTGATTATTTTAAGGCTAAACTACCAATAGGTTCTAATAGTTAGATTTAATTTTCATCAAATCCTATTAAAAATTAGTCTTGGTAAAATTGTCGTTAAAAATATTTTTTTGTGACAATTTTTTACATACGTCGCTAAAAATTGACAATTAATGACTTTTTTTTATCATAATTTTTATAAATTGTCGCTAAAACTTATAATTAATGACATTTTTTTATGACAAATTTTTTTCATAGAACCTATTAGATAATAAGTCTACTTATTAGTATCCCTTATTTTTTTTTCTCTTTAGTGTGTGCATGTGCGTTTTCATTTGCATAGGTAGAATGTGGTATAAATCTCAACATCTTAGGTCAATCTAACCCTTCTGGGCAAAAATGCCTAGTAAAAGTACACCAAAAAAATATTATCTTTATTTTTTCTAACTAGTTTATCTAGTGTGTACTCAGACAACACTCGTTACTTTACCTAATCAATCAAATTAATTTTTAAAAGAAAAATATTATAACACAAACAACAAATAGAAATTTTTATGACATGCCACATATGCACAAAGTATTTACGTGATTACTGATGTGACACTAACAAATATTTATTTTTAAAAAATATATTATTAAATTATTTTTAAAAATAAATATTTTTATACAATATATCATATATATATATATATAAGTAGTGTTTTTCTTTTTCTTATGTGGCAGATTCTAAAGGTTTAATTATTTTATTTTATTTTTGTAAAAAAAATCATACCAACATGATTTTTTCATTTACATGTAAAGTTTTACACAAGCTTAATTTTAATTATAATAACCAATTTTATATAGATTTTATTTAAGAAATTTTTTTTGGGGATTTTTTTTTTAGAATCCATAGTATTAAGATTTTATAGCATAAAGGATATCCAATATTTTCATAATGTCTAAGGTCCCTCAATATCGATCCAGAGAAATTTCGATCCCAGACCCAGAGAAATTCTCTCTAGAGAAAATTGAAATTTCTCTGAGTTCAAACCAGAGAAATCCAGAGAAAATTAAAATTTCTCTAGCTCTGTTCATAGAGAATTTCTCTGGCTTTTTTCACAAATTTCTCTTGTCACGACCCAAACCCAGTACCTAAAGGCTCAGCGTCGTAACAAGATAAAAATAAAATAATTCAAATAATTTTGTAGTCGCAGCGCAAACGGATAAATAAAATAAAATAATTGGTTACCAAATGCTTATTTAAAAGGAAATAAAACATAGTCATTTGAATTTTATTATATTACAAAAGTTCAAAACAAAACAAATAGAAATAAAAAAGATTTTAGAAAAAAACAACACAGCGATTCATTTTCCATCTTAATCCCGCTAAATCTCGTCACCTGAAAGGAGTAACAGCTATAAGCACATAGTAGGGTGAGAAATATTATACTGTGAATGTAGGGGCACAAAATAGTTATGGATAATTATTTAAACTAAAACATTAACATAATTTGAGTTGAATACACAAATTAATTAAGTGGCAAAAATTGAAATAAATTACTAGAACCACGGTACATAACAGAACAGAATAGGGGTCACAAAGTGACAATCACTACAGGGGTTAATGGATCCATGACAACAGGGACCACAGAGTGGTCAAACGGGGGCCAATGGTTATTTAAGTTCCCAAGGCATGGGACTCCTGTGGTAGCACTTACAAAAAATAATTGTTTACAAGATCATTGTCAAATATTCTTTAAAATTTAAATAAACATATTCATGGGTTTCATTTTAAACAAATAAAATTCAGAAAATAATCCACGTAATTGAAATATTAACCTAACCATAAAACATAATTTATATCAAATAAATTGTGATAACTCAAAACATTCGTAAAATATATTATAGTAACTTAAGACATGTAAAAAAATATATTATACTAACTCAAGATATAATAAAACTCAATTAAAAATTACTAATAAATTATTTTGAGCTTGCTTCCCGTTTCTTGTGTTTCTTGCTCTACTATTGTATTGCTCGGATGCCTATTCCTACAACACACACCCTATTTATATAAAATCATGAGTGAGGCCCAAGCAACACACACGTGGACAATTCCTCCTCTTGCCACCCGTTGCCACACGTTCTCTACTTCTCAAATTTTGTTGACACATGTTTTACCCCTTAGATGTTTCCTCTCCAATTCACCAAGGGCCAAAGGCTAATGGCAGCCACGTTGCTTCCACTCCTGCCACGTTTTGTTGGTATTTGAGGGGTGAAGCCACATGTCCTATATCAAGAGTCACCTAAATTAATTTAGTTTTATAAAATTGTTATCACTCATTTGATGATTCATAATGATTCCTAAAATTAAGTACAATTATAAGTTAGGTTCACGTCTAAAAACCTCACTACCAAACTATAAAACACCACTTATCACTTACTAAAATATTTAACGTGCGGTGTCTCACAAACAACTTAATTGATAACTTCCCAATTTCCTATTTATTTATTTATTATTATTATTATTGATTTATTTATTTATTTTTGAGTTCTATTTATTGAAATTTTAAATTTTATAAATTTGGGTGTCACATCTCTGTGATTATTCACAATTTTAAGCTAGAGAAAATTGTTTTAATCAAATCAGAGAAATTTTAGCACAATGATTTTAAACTAGAGAAATTGTTTTAACCAAACCAAAGAAATTTTAATCAAGCCATTTCTCTGTGTTTGTTCACAATTTTAAACTAGAGAAGACTGAGTATAATAACAAACAAGAAAATAAGAAAATGAGAGATTCAAAGAAGAAGATAAAATTTATTTTCTCATTTCCCTTATGTTTCTGAAATGTTTCCAATATGTTTTCATTTCCAAACTAATTGAAACAACATACCCAAAAGAAATGTTCATTCTTGCATGATTTTAACCAACCCAGACAATGGATGTCATTTTGTTCACGATAAATATAAATCCGAGCAAATGTTTATTGCTTTTTTGGATAGCTGGAAATTGTAATTTTACCTTCAACATATTCTCATGTTTTCCTACTTGCCAGAACATCCAACAAAGTAGTTTTACCAGCACCACTAACAACCATTAGGGCTATGAGAACACCCGACCTGGAAGCTCTACTAATACCCTTCAGAAGCATAAGTCTTGTTAGAATAACTGTATAGAGAAATGGAGAATAAAATTATGTATTGATAGATATTGAATCTGTATTACACAAGGAGAAGCTCACTCTCTTTTATAGAGAGGAGAGTGTTGTACATAGGATGCCAAATGCACCGAAAGCAAAAGCAATAAACGTTACAATAAACATTTAACTTTACATGAATATAATATATGCTAATGTATGACAGCTATATATGACACTAACATTATAATACACTAACAGCCCCCCTCAAACTCAAGGAGAAGAGACACAAACCAACTTGAGTTTGGAGAGAGTAACAAAACGTGAAAATAAAATAAAAATAAGATAGGAGACACTGTCTGGTCGTGTCAGACCGTTATAGGAGCTAACCGGAATTAATGTTGGGGCAGTTTACGGGGTCATGCCGGACCGATGTAGCAGACACTGTGTGG